CTTCTTAAGGATGTTTGGACAGATCATAGTGGGCCATCTATCAACTTTGGTGTTGTTCTCTTGGATCCTCACAATTACCTTCCTTCTAATCATTTCAAGCATGGTGATGATAGGGTAGAATCTGGCCTCCACTATCCATTTATTGAATGATTCACAAAGGTTATTGTCTACTGAGTCACAGTAAGTGCCTAACCTAAACCATGCCCTACTCTAATGACTTGGATCTGTGTTTATCAGTGCATGTGCTCCTTCTCTAGTGAACTGTGCCAGTCTAGTCCTTGCCATGTTGAATAAAAGTGGGCATGATGCTTTAGCACATTTCCACCACCTCTTCTGCCATTCCTTCTTCTTGAACTTTTTCCTCCAGTTGGCATACAAGTGCCTTGCACAATTCCTATGCTCCGCCAAAGGAGCCCAGTGCTATACAACATTAAGTATTCCCTGTGTACAATAAACCATGTGAGATTAACACTACTAATTACTGTAGTAGGGTTGGAAAAAATGAATAGTTGAGAATATCATACCTTCTGCTGATCAGAGGTGAACACCCAGTCTTCCCCATTACCAACTGATAAATCTCTAAACAATATGTCACAGAACCAGTCCCAAGTGTCATTGTTCTCTTTTTCGACAACTGCCCATGCAATATGATAGATTTGATTGTTCGCGTCCCTTCCAACAGCACATAGAAGCTCACCATTGGTGGCGCCTTTGAAAAAAAACACCCATCAAGACCCACTACTTTCCTCTGCAGATCGCCAAGAATCCCTTTCCCGCAAGCATCTAAGCATATATACATCCTCTCAAATATAGGCATCCTTTCTTGTATCTTCACTATCACAGTCTTTGCTGGGTTGCTTCTCAATAGTTCCAATGATAATCAAAAAGCCTCTGGTACTGACCATTTGTGGCATCAAGCATCTTCTATAATACAATTTTCTTTGCCCTCTTGAGCTTTGCAATGCTAACATCAGCAAACATCTCCTCTTAGACTGTAACCTTCATAGCTTCAAGACTCCAAGTTGGATTTGCTCTTATCATCTTCTCATATCTCTCTGCTATTCTCCTTCCAGTGACCATTTTGTTATCTCTCTTTGGTGGACAGCTATGTTCACACTTGTAGCTTGAAATCTGCCAACTAGTTGTAGTGGAATTTGTGGTCAACAAACAAACCCAAGGACAAGTTGGCCAGTCACACGTTGCTCTCACTCTGTCACCCTCATCTTTGATAAACTTGATCACCTTCCTCTCAACTAAAGCATACTTAATGACAGCTTTCTTGAACTGTCTTTTACCATTGAACTTCATCCCCAAACTAAACTTGGGTACTGGATCTTTCTTGCTAAACCTTGGGTACTTGCTCTCCTTTGTAACAAGTCCATCGACATCACTTCCCAAGTCCTCAAATGACTCATCTTCATCACTACTCCTGGCATAAGGGGTTACATTGCCTTCATCCTCTATAACAGTGCAATCTCCAGTTTGTGTCGTTGTACCCCCAACAAATATGTCATCTAATTTGTCTTTGTTTGACCGAACTCAACTTCTTCTTGAATTCTTTGAACCTCCTAAGTATCTCTTTGGCTTCTTCATCTTCTTCGAGAGCTTGCTATCATCTCCAAACAAGGAACTCACTATCATTGCTTGATATCTCATTAGCGAGGATTCTTGGCGGCACCATGACCGGGACAAGCATTGCCATCGGGACCCGTTTTTATTTGATTGTGTACAATGACTCAGACCGAGGACTATATGGCACGATATGTCTTGTTCTAGACCCCAAGTCAACATCTTGGTAGTGCTTCTTCTTCATCTTCCATGCCCGCTTCATCTTGGACTCAAAGATCCATCTCATCCTCATAATCACTTTCTTCATCTTCACCGCCATTGCAAGCCTCATCATCGATATTTCTTGTGCAAAGAGAGGTGCCTCAACATATACTTACGCAAAAAATCCATCATCGGTGCATCTCAACATATCTAGGCATGCCTTGCATCAACTAGTGCTCATAATCCATTGTGCGAGTTCCTCCCGGAATTAACCAAAGGCAACAGGTGCCATCCAAAAACAAAGGCGGTGGTCCTTCGGATGCCCAAGTAATTAGGGAAGGATACTTTGTCATGGTCAATGTAGGACGTGGCCACGGTTCCACCACAATAGTGCATTTTCTTCCCATTATGAAGGAACTCCCCATTGTAATGGAACCTAACGTTCAGCTTCTCCAACCAATCCATGTGTCCTATGTAAACAAACTAAAAAGAAATGTATAAACAACGAATCCAGAGACAACAAGAGGGATTAAAATAGCTCAAAATCCACCAAACTGTGCCGCATTAAGCAACTGCCGATGCATAAACTACTCTGCACTACCGATCCCTAAGATTTAAACAACACTACCAAATCCCTATGCATAAACTACTCTAAAGTACCATCACCCTAAACCCTAATCTAATCCACAATCCCTATGCACAAGTGATTCCTTCGAAATCCATGCGTACTGACAACAACTACCACCACAATGATGATTCCAGGGAGGAAAGGGACAGCCAACTCACCTATGTGCCTTAACCCTTAACGCTTGAACTGCATCAACTCCACGAGGAAATCGCCACCGGCCATGGAACGGACATCGGCACCACGCATTGGAGTGCTTGCCTCAGCTGGACGACAGGAAATTAGCAGCAGCAGAGCATTGGAGCGAGCCAATCATGGATTCCCGGCGCCACCGCACCAAAGAGCGTGCGGCTTTGTCCTCGGTCGACCGGCCACCCGCCGCTGCACGCCAAGCCCCTGCCGCCGCACGCCACTTGTCGCTTGGCGCCGTGTAAGCGCGCCGGAGCGCTGCGTACCAGCCTACCCGCCTGTTGTTGGGCCGCTGCGTCGGGTGGAAGCGAGGGGAGGCGCGGATCACGGTGGGGCGACGTGCCGTGGAGGACGGTGGGGCGCCGCGGCGTGGAGCACGGTGGGCGATGCCGCAAGGAAGACAGTGGGGCGGCGTGGGAGGGAAGCGAGCAGAGGCGCCGTCGCCTGTCGGGCAGTTGCTGCTTGGTCTAGGGTTCTTCGTGGGGGTCGGCAGTAGGGACGGGAGTGAATGGGCCGGCCTCTTTGCACGGCCCTTTTAGACGGCCCGTTCAGCGCAAGAAAACCAGGTGGAACAGGGCCGGGGGTAAAGTGCCTGGTTTCATAGTCTGAGGGTTAAATTCATACTCTTGTGTAAGCTGAGAGTTGAAAAATGTACTTTACCCAAAAATTAATACTCGTCAATCTAGCATAGCCGTGCCTGTATTATAGTATATTGGAACCGCTTTTAATTTGCTTTCCAAAACAACTATAGTTATTTCCTTTTAAAAAGTTTGGTCAAGATATTCAACGAGTAGTCGGCGTGAGGGTCCAAATATAGAAAAACAGCAGCTGATACTTCTTTGGATACTTTATCCACAAACTCTAATATGGAGCAACTCCAAAAAAAAATACCTGGAGTTTCTTTAGCACCTCTTTAAATGCTCTATTAATTTTATCTTTTTTCTTCTAGAACAGATTTTGTAAAGTTACATCTGTTTGGTAGAAAAACGTAGAGCTGAGCAGAAAAAATATAGAACAAAGCGGTCCCCAGCATACCCTTAAATCTACTAGTGGCCGGTTTGCGAAAAGTGAATTCCCCACGCGTCTAGCTGCGCCGGCTTTGCAAGGAAAGAAGTCTCTTAGGTGAACGTAGAGCTTAGATTTCGTCCCCACGCGTGACCCGGCCGGTGCTCTCGATCGGCCGGCGACTGCAGCTTCTCAATCTTCGGTCGGCTAAACGACGCGCTCAACTTCGTATGAGCTCGGCCGGCAGCTGCGGAGCTAGCTAACTCAGTTTATCTTTTTTTCATGGAAGTGTGTGTAGCAGTCCGACCGCTTCGTTCGTTCTAGTGTCACACGCGCATTTCTCGTCGAGAAGCTTCTATCTCCTGCCGTTCGGAGGGGGAAACAAATTAGGGCAATGCACGTGAACTTACCACGAGACGACGAAATCGAGAAATAACAAATTTCTGCAGCACATGAACTGAGATACAAGTGGCAAACTTATAGTGTAATACTAACAGCTAGCAGGTAGTGGTCAACGACATTACTTAATTACGAAAACCTAAACTGCTGCGTCCCCGGTCCACGGAGACGCAACTGACGATTGTTGGGAAGAATTTGTCGAGAAAGTAGGGACGGACGTAGTCACGTAGTAGGTTTTCAGATTATTTTGGATACCCCGTCTCACGTTCTACTATATATAAATATATATCCATGGGCTGGACTCGATCCTACATGCATATGGGCCGAACTCAACACCACAAGCGGGACCTTTTCGGCCCAATGGCCTCGAACCAAACAGCTAATCATCCGCCATGACCTCAGCTTTGACGCCTGTGCGTGCGGCGGTCCGATTCAAAAGGCTGGAAATCGAGACCGAGTGGTGGATTGGCCTAATCTCTGCTGGAAATCGCGGCGAATTTTTCGGACGATCACGGCAAGCCGTTGCGCGTACGACGCGAGGAACCAGGCAGACAGACAGCAACTGCAGGTGCAGTTGTGCGCAGCACAGAGAAGAATACTTTTACATGGTACTACTGTTGTATACAGAACTGGCAACGGCCGAAATCGTCTTGCTCCAATCCACTGCGTCTTTGCATTGCAGTGCTACCGTAGAAGTACAGTTAGTCCTAACTGACCGACGACCTTAACTTAGAAAAACAGCATCTGATATCCCACACGGGACAGGGACACGCGCTCCATCTTCTAGTGTCACTTCGTTCCAACTCCACAGGAAGGCTTGGCATCAGTTCGCCGTCCAATGGGCTGTTCACCGGTGCTGAGGCAGGCAGACAGGTAACCTTATTCGCCGAGTTCAGCTTCAGCCTTCAGCAGCAGCTTGGCTGAGCATAGCGAGCGTATCAGACTATCAGTATCCATCATCCATGGGCACATTTCACTTTGTACAGCCTACACTCAGGGATCTGTAATCTGTTCAGCGGTTCCTGTACCATTTTGGGGCATGAACATTGAGTGATAAATCAGTACAATGGTATTCATGATTGAATGCACAAAGAGCAAAGAATCCAGCTGGATAGTCATAGTAGCTTACACAAGTACTGACGGTTCGGAAGGAGACTGATCCGACTTGTTTGGCATGTTTCTTGCAAGGAATTCAAGAACATGTTTTACCGCCTCCCTTGGCTTTTCGACATGAGGAATATGACCACACTGCCAGACCTGCCTCAGAATTGCATCTGGGAGTTCCTGATGCAACCTCTGCAGAGTGACGCAAGAATAGCATGAGCATAATATCTGGTAGGGCACACACTGATGCTACTTTATGCTGTTATTATGTTGACACGGCATTAGCTTTCCTCGCTGTCTAAATAGCAATAGCACTTTGAAATTGTGCTCCGAATGTTTTAGTAACCCTTTCATAAAAAAAAATGTTTTAGTAACCCACCCCACAAATCACAACATCTCAACTTACATATGCTAGTTTGCTGCTTATTATTCCATCATCCTCTCCCCACATGATCAGACATTTATGCTTCACCTGTAAGGAAAAATAGGAACATCATTAGTAATGTATCTTCTACTGAACAAACTTCAATTATTTTCATGCCTGACTTTGATCCAGAAAGGTTGGAGCATCTGTGTCATCGTCATTCCAGTGACAGTAATATATGGTGTACTATAAAGCTATGATGCAGCATGCAGCATCCCTTCTCTGTAATCTTGGCAAGAGTATGACGAAACAACAGTCCAACAACCTATTGGGGTTTTCACTAAGAATATGAAATATTCAAGGTACTGCATTTTCTCACCCAATAGGTTTGGTTAATGACAAGGAAGGAGTTGAAAGCCCTTACACAGAGAACAAAAATAAATCTTATCACATGTACACTTGCCCTTATCAGCTTTCTCGGAAGTTTTCAGTAAAATGAGTAAAAGGTTAGACCCATGGAAGGGTAAAATCATAACCTTGGGAGGGAGACTAATTCTTACCAATACTTGTTTAAGCAGTATACCATGGGCTTCTACAGGTTAACTGATGGGGCACACAGTAAGGTGGACTCGATAAGAGCAAACATTTTCTGGCAAGGAGCCGAGGAAAAACACAAGTACCACATGGCCAGGTGGGAAATGATGACAAGACCAAAAGACCAAGGAGGTCTAGGGATAATCAACACAAAAGTACTAGTTAAATGGGTGTTTACTAGTTAAATGGATTTGGAAAATTATGCAGGGCTCTGAGGACACATGCTATAAAATTCGGCACGCTAAATATATGCCAGATGGGAACTTCTTCAATTCTAAACACAAAGGCACATCGCAATTTTGGCAGGGGCTACATAAAGTTAAGCACTTATTCAAATGGGGGGGGGGGGGGGCATCTTCAAGGTGAAGAATGGCTGCAAAACTTACTTCTGGCAGGTTGTATGGTTGGGAGATACACCTCAACAGAACAGTGGCGGAGCCTGACTCGTAATCAAGGGGGAGGGGGAATTGTCCATAGACAATATGATAAAATTAGCTTTATTACTAGATTAATTGCAGTTTTGGTCAGCTAGTACTACTCGCTGGAGAGAGATGGGCCATTACATGCGCAGTTAAACCTTAATTCATCTTTCTTAGCCAGTGTGTGGGAGGGGGGAGCCGAGACCCAGTATGGACTCTACTAGGCTCTGCCAGTGCTACAGAAGAAGTACCCTGAACTCTATTGGATAGCAGAGAGCCCTTCGGCCACGGTGGCTGAATATTGGTCTAAAGATGAATAATGTATCAATTTCAGAAGATCCCTGACTTACGGTGAACTCCACTCATGGCAACAATTAATGACCCAATTGGAAGAAGTTGTAATGGAAGATGATAGTGAGGAGAATGATTCCTAGGGGCACAGAAAAACAAAATGCTTCTCGACCAGACGGGTACAGGACCATATCAGAGGGGAATTGCACAAATAAAAGCCTCAACAACATATGGAAGAGCAAGGTACCCATGAAGATTAAAGTATTCCTGTGGCAGCTTTTCAGTAACAAGCTACAGGCAGCAAAAGTTTTGAAGAAGAGAGGCTGGAAAGTGTGAAAAGTGTTGTTTGTACGGCAAACAAGAGAACATTGACCACATTTTCATCACCTGCCCTATAACAAGTCTTGCATGGTGCATCCTGAGGGAGGTCTTTAACTGAACCTCCCATCCGATCTCTAGATTGGACTTCATGGGAAGTTGGATAAATGTCAGACTACACACCCCTCAAACATCTATGTTTCTGTTTACAGGTCTCGCCTGAGCCATATGGGCCAGACGCAACAAGATGGTAATCGAAAAGGTTTTCCCAAGCAAACCTTCTGATGTGATATTTTCAACTTTATCATTTTTTGCAGAAGTGGTCTATCCTGAATTCCTGATCAAACCAAAGGACAAGGAAGGAACTGGCAAGATCATGGAGATCATCTACGGCTGGATGAAAAACTTCAAACCCCCAAATTTAGTCATTTATTACTCTTCTTATATTAGTGAACTCTAATTGTACATAGGCTAGAAGATTGCTTTGCCTTTTGGATGCTTTCTTGTAGGCTGGTGTTCCCAGATGTACTTTGTTACTCTTATCACTTTCTTAAAAGCAAAGGAAACTCCTTTCTAAAAAAAGAACAAAAATGTATCCGGGATAAAAGGAAGCAACCCTGAGAGCTAAAGAAAAAGCTAAATGATCATAACTAGCATCAAAGAAACTATGGAAGCCATCCTTCCTCATGCTATGGTATTGTTCTTGATTTTACTTATATCTTAGTACCTAATTATCAACATGCAGAGAAAATGTATTTTAGCATTAGGGTGTTGTCATATATAACAGCAGTAGTTATCATCTCAAGACTATTTTTGCCGTGTTGCAGCGTTGTCAAAGACAACTGTCATTGTTGAGACTAGTGACTGATAGTTGTCACAATATCATCAATGCACAGAGGGGGGCGGATGAACTACAAAAATTAGAAACTTTAACATCCTTGAACAGTGAAAATTCATAAGCAGGGTGTTTAAAGAAAAGAACCTGTTTTATTTGGTCTATGACATTATAACCCCCTTTAATCATAAAATTTACTGTAGCATCCTCCCACCAGGGAAGTAGGCAATGCAGACGGCCAATCTGAAAATTTAGGGGAAACGTGTCAAAATGCATGACTTCATATGCTCAAGGTACAGAGGAACAGGAAGCTAAAATAGCCTGTTTGCAAAATCTATTAGATTAGTTATGGAATACTTTTGCACTGTTGAAGTCAGGATATCAGACAGAAAAAAAAACGAAAATTGGAGTGGCAGATAATAATTTATTTTTAATATAATTTTAGCATGAATCAGAAAAGTTTGGATTAATCATGTTTGCTCCCATCAACAGAAACATGATTATTGCATAAGTAGTTAGAACAGAGACACTGTTACCGCCAGTTTCTTAGAAAGCAACTTTATTGGAAGAGAAAATGGACTTCTCCCTAATTTCAAAAGGTAGAGAAAACTACTAGAGCTCTTCTTTTCATGTTCCTTTTAAAGTTCAAAGTGATCCATAGAGGCTTACTTGCACCCAATCAAAGAATTCATTTGGAGTTTTTTTAAATGCCAAACTTGTTGCTAAAAATCGCAGTGGAAGACTCTTCAATATGAACACCTGGGGAAGCAAAGAAAACAATCAGTTTACTCCAGTAGTCCAGTCGCCCAGCCAATGTAGACACACACCACAAGATTTCTTTGATCCAATTAGAGACATTCCACTGAAGTAGCACGCCATCATTATCAAAAAAAAAAAAAAGCACAGCCATAACCAATAAGAGATAATATTACTAAGCACCGAATGGAAAATACAGACCTAACGACATAAAAAATAAAACATGTAAAATGAAATGGAAAACTAAATAAGCTTGGCATGGAAGACAGAATGACTCACCCCGGCATATGAAACAAATTTAGGCATTCTAGTCATATCTTTTGGGCCCTCAGAGTATACACTTGCACCAATGAAGATCAATTTCGATACCTGTGAAACCAAGCTTAAATTAGCTAATTGGAATATAAAACTCTCAAACTTGTAAGATCTGTCTTGTATGGAGGCTTGTGGCATAGTAGTCAAAATTCACATAAAAGGAAGCACTACAGATACCTCAGTTTAATCTGTTGTATTACTCTGTAGTCTGCAGTAAAGAAATATAGACAACAAAACTATTTTAAGCATGTACCGCATCCGGGTAGTTGACTGAAAAATCAATGGCAACAGCAGCACCAAGGCTGGGCCCGACTAACACCATAGGCCTTTTGATGTAGGATTTCCAGAACTACACATAAAAGTTAAGTTGTAAGGGTCACATCACAGTAACTAAGAAAATAACAGATCAATGTAACCATTAGATTGGCTGAACTGTTAGGCATAGGGAGGAGTGGTGGGTGTGGTGTCATACTCTCTGGTACGTTGTCTCTTAATGAAATGATAAGTAGCTCTCCTACGATGGCTCTCCTACATGTTCGAGGAAAAAAATACAAAAATGGAAAATAAACTGAAAACTATTGTAGCAATTCAGGAGAAAGTTCTGTATTTTATAACATGCCTGGCAAGGACAGTTGTTCAGTTACTCTCATCCTAAGTAAGTTGAAATCAGTTATTATAATGTTAAGCAAGTTGTTCAAATCAGCTACTATCAGTACTTCAGTAGCATTCAAGCGTTTCCCATATTAGAATCAGAAATAAGTTCACGAGAAGGAAATGTTAGATTGATCTCTCAACCAATAAGCCCAACGGCCTATTGGGCCTTGGTCACGCGCCCTGATCGGGGGCGCCCAACCCTACATGGTTGGTGGGCCCCCGTCGCACTGCGCTATATAAAGAGGTGGGGGGCCGGCGGCTCGAGGTACGAGGTTGACCGTGAGCCGCAAACCCCACCGACAAACCCTAGACCGATCTAAGAGGGCGGCTTTGACAATGACGGAAAGTCTCGGCCCGGCTTGGCCGTCATCATCGCTACGCCATCCGTCGTCAGACCTTTGCATCGACGTCCGTGCAACCTCTACTCCACCCGTCATTTGCCCGTGTCGCTTGCCTCCATCAACGAAACCGGCGATGGCGACTCAACCGCGACTTCATCCGAAGGCTCAGGTTCAACACCAGCACCTCTACCCTATCTCCCTCTCGATGTAGTGTTCTAGGTCTAGATATGCATGTGCTATTACGGATCCAAGGGTGTCCCTCCTAGATCTACTGCTGGAGATCCTAATTGATTTAACAATGGTATCGGAGTCAGTCTGTCTAGTCGTAGATCTGGATCAGGGAAGAAAAGAAATCGAACCCTAACCCTAGATCGGGTTCGGGAAAAAGAAAAGAAAAGTTACCCGAGAAGAAAACAAATCAGGGGGAAAAGCTATTCAAACCCTATCCAGGAAGGGGAAGAAAGGGAAAAGGGTAGCCTACCTCGCGTTTGCGTGGCACTGCAGTCACGCCGGCGCGTGGGGAATAGATAGGTCGGCCGGGGGCATAGCTCGCCGGTATCAAAGCGCCCGCTTCGATATTGGATCGACCGAGAAGGAAAAGAACCGATTTCAAATCGGAAAAGCAAACCCTAACCCTAAAAAGGAAGCCTACCTAGGCTTTTACCCACCGCCGGCGGCATCGCCACCGCGCGGAAAGGTGACCGCGGCGTCGCTCCCGAACGGCGCGCGGGACAGAGCCGAGATCCGGCCGACGGATGAGCTCAGGGCACCAACGCGAGGCCGCTCGACAGCGGCGCGCTCACCCAAAGGGGAGGCAGACCGGGCGCAGTGGGCCAGCGGCGCGGCGCCGCATTTCTTTTTTCCTTCAAGCCGCCATGGTCGGCTCATTGTGGGCTCTGGTGCTTGCGCGAAGAGAGAGAAAGGAAGACAGAATGAAGCTAGGGTTGAGGAGGCGCGGCCGGCCGGGGGTTTTGATGCCCCGAGTCAGGCGCTCCACCGTTCGATCTGGATGGATGGACGGAGTTGATCGGGCTAAGCGCCATGACCAGTCAAAGGATAGGCGCGAGGCGAAATGCCGCCTGAGCCAGTGTTTACTGGCGCTGGAGGAAGCCACGCCATGCCGGGCCATGAGCATCTAGGCCTTGAGGAGGCATGGGCCTTTTGGCTCTGGGCAGGCGCGCATTGACAGGAGGTTTTTCATTTGGGCCCTCGCGCCTTTATTCTTTGGATCGGGCGAAATGGCCAAACAAAAAAATCTGATCACGGTTTTTTTTATTTTCTTATTTTCCGAAAACAATTTGATCAATTTGAATTGAATTTTTATGATAATTTTCTCGTACAAAATTTATCCAACGATATTTTTGTTCAATAAATAGTAAAGTTATACGGAAAATAGGAAAATGATTATTGAATGTTAATGTTTCGCTGCGTATTTAAAGTAATTATGGACTTTTAATTAAATTGAACCAGCGGGAGAATTTGATTTTAAGAGCCAAGAGATAAATATGAGTTGATTATGATATTGTTATTTTCGACCAACGTTGTTAATAGCAATATTATAATTTTAATGATTATGCATTATTTCTATTTACGCTTAGCGGTGATGTAGATCTAATGTATAAAATAATTGTATGTTTTAATTTTGACCAACGTTAAACTAAGGCATGCAATTATTGTTGTTATTATTTGTGTTCTCACACTATTTGAATTGTGTTTTGAGGAGAATACAACTTGATGAGTTGTATCAAAGAGATCCCCACTCTAAAAGGTGATAACTATATTGAGTGGAAGAAAAGATAGACTGGCTTTTATCCTCATTTGAGGTGGATCTGGTTGTCACCACACCGTGTCCCGTGAGAACATGTGGCACGGTGAGGGAGGCAGATGAGGCCTGATGCGCGCATGGCGTAAGCAGAGAGCGGGACTTTGCTCCGTAAAGATGTCCTATGACCTTGAGCATAGGAAATGGGTCACCGCCAACAAGAAGTGTTTGGCGGTGATAAAAATTTACAATTGAGCACGCAATAGTGGGCTCAATTCCAATCATATGTTTACCTGGTCACTGAGTACCTAGAAAGAATAAAGAGTGGCCATTGGCTCTTCAAAGATATATGCAACCCGGTGATCAAGCATTTGGTGTATGAAAAAAGGTACTCTGGTGGCGGCGGTGGCATTAGAGAGCACATATCCGAGAATGAGCAATCGGCATCTAAGCTCAAACCAATGGATTTGGCACTCAAGGATGAGTTTCTCATTCATTTGATTTTTGCTTCTTTGCCCAAAGAATTTGACACCTTTGTTGTTAATTACAACATACTGACTGAAAAATGGGATTTAGAAAAGCTCATAGCCATGTGTGTGTGGGAGGAGGAAAGAATAAAAGTTTCACGGTGGTGGTACTTGTCAACTACCTAAAAGATAAGAAAAGAACTATAATAATGACTCTTCCTCCAAGTCATCGGAAAAGGTCCCATGCAACAGTCTCGAACAAGCAATTCCCGGTGGATAAAGACAAATTGTCTCTCTCTGCAAGAAGGCGGGACATTATAAAAAGAATTGTCCTGATTTCTTAAAGACGATTATGAAAAATAAAGGTGAGAACATCATTACATTTGTAAATGAATCCTTGTATGTAAAGTTTTCAAAATCTACTTAGTGGATTGATTCAGGGGCAACTATTCATGTTGTTAATTCATTACAGGGATTCCGTTCGATGAGAACTTTGCAAAGAAGCGAAAGTTTCATTAAAGTCGCAAATGGAGTACAAGCAGATGTTGAGGCCGTTGGCGATCTTCCGCTAGAGCTTGCTGATGGCTTCATACTTTTTCTTAGAGATGTTCTTTATGTACCTTCTTTGCAAAGAAACTTGATTAGTGTATCAAAGTTGGACCATGATGGTTATGATTGCCATTTTGGAAATGGCAAATGTCAGATATTGTTTAATAATAAATGTGTTGGTCTTGTCTTCCGACAAGACGAGCTTTATTTGTTATCACTTCGTGAAAATGTGAATTCCGTATGTGATGTGAATGAGAATGTATCCTCATCGAACAATGCAAACAGAAAACGAAAGAGAACTCACGATGCGTTGTCGAAATTATGGCACTGTCGTTTAGGCCATATTTCGAGGGGGAGAATAGAAAGACTAGTTAAGAATGATATTCTTCCTCCATTAGAGCTCTCAGATTTAGAACAATGTAGAGATTGCATAAAAGGAAAGTATGTAAAGAAAATTAAGAAAGATGCCAAACGAAGCGCAAGAATTCCAGATTATTCACACAGATATCTGTGGTCCTTTTCCTGTGAAAAGTGTGGATGGTTATGATTCATTATGATTCATTCATAACATTCACAGATGATTACTCTCGGTTTGGCTACATTTATCCAATTAAAGAAAGAACAGAAGCGTTGGATAAATTTAAAATATTTAAAGCAGAAGTTGAAAATCAGCATGATTTAAAGATTAAGATAGTCAGGTCTGACCGTGGGGGAGAGTACTACGGTCGGCATACCCCATATGGACAAGTTCCTGGACCTTTTGCAAGGTTCTTACATGAGAATGGTATAGTCGCTCAGTATTCAACACCGGACGAACCTCAGCAGAATGGAGTAGCTGAAAGGCGTAACCGTACCCTGATGGATATGGTGCGTAGTATGATAAGTTACTCCACTTTACCGACGAGTCTGTGGATGGAGGCGTTAAAAACCGCCATTCATATTCTCAATAGAGTACCAAGTAAGTCGGTGCCCAAAACACCGTATGAGTTGTGGACGGAAGAGTACCTCACTTAACCACTTGCGTGTGTGGGGAGCCCTTTGAGGCTAAAGTTTTTAACCCAAACATTGGGAAGCTAGATCCCAAAAGCAAGTGAGTTGTCATTTCATTGGCTACCGGAAAAGTCAAAAGGTTTTCGTTTCTACTTGTCCCTAATGAGGACATACAAAGTTTGTGGAAACGAGACACATTTGTCTTCCTAGAGGATGAAATGATTAGGAAGAGCATGGTAGCTCGAGAAATTGACCTTGAAGAGAAGCGGGTGTATGCACCCACTCCAATAATTCATGAGCCATTTTTCTCACTACTGTTGTTCTTTGCACCGACAAGTACAAGACAACGTGGTGCCAAAGACTGTTGTTATTATATCACTTTGTGGCAACAATAATGATGATGAGGAATCTGTTCCTCGGGATCCTATAGAAACTATTGCCACACATGAGTGGGAGCAACAATGACCTCAAGCAGAAAATGTGCCAAATGAGGAGGCCCCTAGAAGGTCTCAAAGAGTTAGAAAATCAGCTATTCCTGTTGATTATGAAGTGTACAACATGAAGAATTTCAAATGGAGGATGATCCCACCTCATTTGAAGAAACCATGAAAAGTGATCATTCATCAAAGTGGCTTGAGGCCATGGAAGATGAGATGAGATCAATGAATGCAAATAAAGTTTGGGATTTGGAGATAATTCCTAAAGGAGCCAAAAGCACAAGAGGGTCGTAAATGGGTCTACAAAACAAAACTTGACTCTCAAGGGAATATAGAGAGATATAAAGCCCGACTTGTAGCAAAAGGCTTTACACAAAGAGAAGGGATTGATTACAATGAGACCTTTTCTCCGGTCTCATGTAAGGATTCCTTGTAATCATAATGGCATTAGTGGCACTTTACGATTTAGAATTACATCGGATGGATGTAAAGGCGGCATTTCTCAACGGAGACTTAGAAGAAATGTTTACATGGCACAACCGAAAGGTTTTGTCATGGAAGGAAAAAGAACGTTTAGGATGCCGCCTAAAGAAATCCATTTATGGATTAAAACAAGCTTCAAGGCAGTGTTACTTGAAGTTTGATCGGATAATAAAGAATTTTGGGTTTAAAGATAATGTTGAGGACAATTGTGTCACGCAAAGTTTAAGAATGGGAAGTTTATCTTCCTTGTCCGTATGTGGATGATATCTTACTTGCTAGTAGTGATGTGTCACTACTCTCTGAAACAAAGAAGTTTTTGTCCTCAAAATTTGATATGAAAGATCTTGGTGAAGCTTCGTTTCGTTCTAGGGATCGAGATTCACCGAGATAAAAGTAAAGGGTATTATTAGATTTGTCACAAAAGGCATACATAGAAAAAGTCTTAAAGAAATTCAAGGTATGCACAAATGTAGTCCATCACGCTCCTATAGTCAAGGGCGACAGATATGGAGATTTTCAATGCCCCCAGAACCAATATGAGATCGATCAAATGAAAGTGGTTTCATATGCTTCATTTGTCGGAAGCTTGCAATATGCTCAAGTGTGTACGCATACACGAATTGGCATTTGTTACTGGGGTATTTTTGGCGATTCAGAGCAATCACGGAATAGAACACTTTCGAAATTGGTAAATAAAGTCTTGCGTTATTTGCAAGGAGCGAAAGGCCTCATGATGACGTATAGAAGATCCGATTCACTCCATATAGTGGGATATTGATTCGATTATCTTTGGAGATAATAGAAAATCCACGTCGGATATGTGTTCACTCTCACGGGGAGCTATTTCATGGAAAAGCTCAAAGCAAACCGTCACTACATCATCCACAATGTATGCCGAGTTTGTAGCGTGTTATGAACAACAGGCAGGTGGCGGCTAAATAAGTTCATACCGGTTTGAAGGTGGTTGGCGACATCAATAGACCATTGAAGTTATCTTTGCGATAATAATCCAAAGAAGACGGTATGCTCACAACAATAGGTCAAGTGGTGCTGCCAAATACATTGATATAAAGTATTATGTTGTGAAGGATAAAATCCGGGATCAAATGATAAGTCTTGAGCATATAAGTACCGAAAAGATGCTCACGGATCCGCTTACAAAAGGCTTACCACCCAACGTGTTCAGAGAACATGTAGCCGGCATGGGTTTAAGGGAAAGCCTATGATCCCTGGACTATAAATGGCCCAAAAGTTAAAGTAACTATTTCAGATCAGAGACGTGCATTGTAGCTGTTAAATCTATCGGCGATTGACCGTGACGATGAAACATGCTCTATGCATCATCTGTGAAGAAATGAGTAAAGAAAAAAAAAGATTGAAGTTTAAAGTTTAAAGATAAAAGTAATAGTGAGATCAAGGGGGAGAATGTTAGATTGATCTCTCAACCAATAAGCCCAATGGTCTATTGGGCCTTGGTCACGCGCCCTGATCGGGGACGTCCAACCCTACATGGTTGGTGGGCCCCCGTCGCACTGCGCTATATAAAGAGGTGGGGGGCCGGCGGCTCGAGGTACGAGGTTGACCGTGAGCCGCAAACCCCACCGACAAACCCTAGACCGATCTAAGAGGGGCGCTTGACCCGTGACGGGAAGCTCGGCGACTTCGCCGCGTCATCTTCGCTTCGCCATCCGTCTGCACTGCATCGACGTCCGTGCAACCTCTACTCCACCCGTCGCTACCCGTGTGCTGCCTCCATCAACGAACCAGCGATGGCCAGCTCAACCGCGACTTCATCCGAAGGCTCAGGTTCAACACCAGCACCTCTACCCTATCTCCCTCTTGATGTAGTGTTCTAGGTCTAGATATGCATGTGCTATTACGGATCCAAGGGTGTCCCTCCTAGATCTACTGCTGGAGATCCTAATTGATTTAACAGGAAAAGGACACATCATGTGGCAATTAGCAAAAGGTACAGCATCGGTGATGGTACATATATATAGTACCTGGTAAAGATGCTCGCGTTTGGATGCAACATCACATGGTGGTCGTGTTTCTACGAATGAGACAATCAACGATATTACAAGGGGCCTACAAAGTACGAAATTAAAATCTTACCAGGTACAGTAACCAAACAAACCAGGTACAGTAACCAAACCAGATCACATGGTGTACAGGATGGGGCGTACCTAAATCAGAGAAGCCCCAACCAAGGATGTCCACAGCCCAAACCTCCAATCCGGCCTCCTCAAGCAAAGGGTAGGTGTATCTCCATTCTAGAACAGAACTGTAGACAATACTTTAAAATGGTCCACACTAATAGTCACATACTCACATAGCAGAAATACAGCATTTTATTTTGGGACAGGCTCCAAGACAACGATGATGAGCAGCACTGAAACCAGACCTTTCTAGTTGAACCATGAAATTTTGCTGTGGAATGGAACTCACCTGTCGAAGCCATGCAGCAGCACGACTGGATCAGCGTCCTGTTGCTGCTTGAGCGGCCTGACACAGCTGCTCGGTATCGCGCTCCCCGAGAAACCGGTCTGAAGATGGAGATAGGGTAAGTTCAGGCTTCAGAAAAACACAGCCATTGCGCATTGAGCGTACGACACAGCACAGTAAAATCGGGAGAAATCGGCTCGCCTGGACGGGCACGCGCTCGATTCGCTTGGCGAGGCGGATGGCGGCGCCGTCGCGGATGCGCTCCACCGCCTGGGGAAGGAAGGACGGGAACCCGGCCGCGCTGGTGCCTCTGGCAGTGGCGCCGGCCCCGTCCGGGGCGGAGGCGGCGCTGGAAGCCGCAACCCTGAGGCGGGACCTGGGCGACGCGGCTAGCGGCGGTAGCGGCAGCGCCGGTAGGGAGGAGGACGTGAGGAGCAGCGGCATTTGGTTGGGTTCGGCGCGCTTGCCCGCGCGCTGGACGGTCTCGAGGCTTGGAGTTGGAGCTGTGCGCCATGTACTCTCCGCTGCACGGGTGTTATAGGTCGCGAGGACGGTGGTGCCACGCGGCATCGTGTGGTGCCACGCTGCCACGGGCTATCCACATGCGATTTTTCAAACCGAAAGGCGAAAACAATGCGAAGGAAAATTTGAAAAAAAAATATTTGCGACAAACACCTCACTTTTTTCCGAGAGAAACAACATCAGGTTAGGTCTTGTGTGATACTCTCGTATTTATTTCGATCATGTATTGGGGTATGGACATCCCATTCTACTTCACAACATATAAATTGGGGTGAATATGAGAGTATCCAAACAAAGCCTCACTTACATTGTGAGGTTCCTCAAAGTTAGAAATATCACATCTACGGTCTGTTGCAAGATCTAACTTGACGTGAATGGCATTCAGACCTTAGTTATTATTTATGTTTAGGTAATAGCTCTACGCGAGCCATTTAACAAAAAATGTTCTCTATATGTTTTCACCCTCCAACATCATGTATCCAGGGGGAGGAGCTCGGCGGCGGTACAAATTAAGAAGCTCAAGGAGAAAGAGGACGAGTGCGAGCAAAGGAGGGCCACGGGGAAGAGGAGCTCAGCAGTGGCACAAGAAGGATGAGCTCGACGATGCAAAGGAGGAGCAGGAGAGGAAGAAGCGGAATCAGGATGAGGAAAGGCTTCTTTCATGTTGTATACGAGAATCGACTGAGCATCGTGTCACAAGGCATGACCCGCTTTTTCACGAGAATCAGTCGCAGAAGTGGCTCCAAACATGGCTTCAAACCTATACAAATCTTTAAATGCAGGGAGAACCTCTTTTATAAATCAACAGTGCCCACGTAACTTGTAGCGTGAGGAGAACAAAGCCCGTGCTCTTATAGACCAACAATGCTACTACGTTTGGTGTTTGCTATGCCTATCCACTCGCCAATGTTGTTCTCCTCACCCTTGCCCTCCGCACGAAACACGGGGTCACCCTGTAGTTCAACTTGTTTTCACTGAGTCGTTATAGTTTGTTTTTTTAACAACTTGCCATGCCATACGCATTAGTTATATCATACAGTTGTACTCCCTCCATTGTAAAATAAGTGATGTTTTAGGTTTGTCCTCAAACTATATCAAGTTTGACCAAATTTACATGAAAGAACATCAATATTTATGATACCGAATAGGTAGAATATGAAAATATATTTAATGATAAATCTAATAATACTTATTTAGTATCATAAACATTAGTACTTTTTTATAACTACAAGAAATGCGTGGTTTTTTGACGTATTTAGTATGACAACAGGTCATAATGTCATTATATCATTCGGTTTATGACATTATATTTTAGGCACTTCGACTTAGTGACAATAAAAAGTTGTATATCACGAAAAACGTCATACAACTAGTCTAATTCCATCCCGTGACGATATTTGCTACGTCATAGAGGCATTTTTTTTGTCACAGATGTTAATTTCCAAATCCCATCAATCTATGCCAGAGTTCGTGTAATAATTTATTGATTTATTTAAACATTGTTGTCTACGTTAGCATGTTCCACAGCCAAATGGTCATGTGGGTCCGAATACTTTTTTATTTCCATTTCACAACCTTTTTGTTTAAATCCATCTTGGTACCAAAATAATCGATATAATGTTTAGACCTACAAATATAGATATTAATATTGTAACTATAAAATTGGTAAAACTTGAAATAGTTTGACTTAGGATAAATCTAAAACATAATTTATTTTAGGACGAATGAAGTATGTAGATGTTTAGTTCGTTACCAGAACTGTGCCACACCGCCACACTTTCTTATTACTTTGTCCACATGTCATATACTTTTTTTTCTACGACCATGCTAAATTTTATTGTGTAGTTTCGATTTTGTTCACCATACTTTGTGTGTCAGCCTTCAGCCACGATTTACATAAAGTTAGATATGGCAAAATAAGGCACCAACCAAATAAACCGTAGATTTCCCATAAAACATTGACCGGATTAAGCTGGCATTAGTATATGGCACCACTCCTTGTTAAAAAGGTACAAGTGGACGGCACATCTTCGTACAAGTGGACGGCACATCTTCTTCGCAGTTTTTTGCAAAATGAAAAAAATAAGCTCGAGATATGAAGGAGAAGAAAAGCAAAACATATCTACCCTTACCCTTATTTGTGTATGCCATTTTCTGTGCCCACAACGAGCCACGTCATCGGTTAGCCCTGTCCATCCGATTCCACATCAACGGCACCAGATCAGCAGCTCGGGAAACTTCCACGCTCTTCCCGGCCTTGCAGGCTCCAGCCCCTCGCTCTTACGACGCCGCTGCGGCTCCTGCAAGCGCCGCACGTGAGGCAGACGCCCCTCCGCTCTCCTCTGCCCTCTCCCTCGCGCCTTCCTCTGCCTCCAGCGCCCTCTCAGCCTCTCCCTCTCGCCGTGCTTGGTCGCCGCCGTACTGTCGGGCCTAGGTCGTGCGGCGTACCGGCGTGGCCGCCCGCCCTACCTCTCCTCCCCCAGCCACGGGGACTCAGCCTGCGCCGTCGGACCCCGACGCCGCGCGCCAGCCCTATAGCATAGCCGATGCCGTTCGCGTCGGCCTATGCCACCGCACCCCGGCGCCTCGGCCGCCCGGGCCTAGGTTTGGCCTTGGCCCCTGCATCAGAGGTCAGCTCCTCTGGTCTCCACTCTCCAGTAACCCCTTCAGTTCATCATCGCGGAGTACATCTACTAAAGGATGCAGCGATGGTGGATGCCCCCAGGGTGTTCGATGAAATGCACGTTTGGAGTGTTACGATTTGGAATATCCTTTTTTTGCTTTACCTGTTTCATGCCATTCTGTAGTGTACTGTAACCTCTATTTTTTCTGTTTGATTCAATATGTATGATTGCAAAATCCACGTGCTCATCAGTTATGTTGTCATAAATAATGCACCTGAATGTTCTATCAGCCTGAATATATTCTGATTTTCAGAGAAGTTTATCTCCTTGTTGGCATGTTACTTTACATTTCTTATTATGCTACATAATTTTTTGCTATATAATTCCTTTTGTTTTGTCTCATGTCTGTAAAATTAATGATCATAATGACTCCTATATGACTTAAAAATACTTATAAATATACTGAGGACTTGGAAAATCACAGGTACAACTATCGTTGGATAACTGATAGATTTCATTATAATTTTTATATACTAACTTTGCTTTTATATTTTCTTATTGCCGTAGGTCATGATTGATAATCTGTCCTCCTTCTTTCTACTACACACATGTTTATATGATTTACTAATTGTTGAGATAACACCCTCCCCATTACAGATTGCTCATCAAATTTGATAATGGTTATTTACACACATGTTCCAGCAGCACACATGTTCATTATACTTCCAGCAGCACTACTGTCATTAATGTAAGTTTCCTGTAGCCAACATATTTTAAATTGGCAACGAATGCTGTGAACCATTAATGGAGGCCTGTTATTTCAATCAAATGTATCATTCTCGCTCCAGCTGAGCTTACAGTCCAGTTTCTAGATTCTAGACAATCTGAAATTGACTTATCATGTGCATTTCGTCATGTTATGCTACCCCTTTGCTTAGCTATCGATATTTCAGTGTTCTAGCTTGGGCTATGGGAATACTACATTGTGTACTGCAGAGCGCTGCTTCTACCGAAAAAAATATAGTTATCTTTTTGTATGAAAGATTGCCTTTTTTGTTGATTGCCTTTTTGTTATGAAAGATTGCACAGGCGAGGGTAAGGCTTGCCACTAACTCCCTTCCCCAGACCCCGCACAGAGCGGGAGCTCTCTGCACTGGGTACGCCCTTTAATAGATGTTGCACCCCCAGATTCCTACTTTATGGCAATGTGACTCCTAGCTCTTGGATCTAAATACATGACATTTTACTTGGACGTTGCTGGTATATTTACTCTTCTACCTTCCTGTAGTTTGCAAAAAAAATCGAGCATGCCTCCGTGGCCTCCACTCCATGGGACATCATCATCAAATGGTTGCCAACTCACTTTAGGTTGCAGGTCAGCAACCATTCCAGTTCTGTGGTTGGCTTCGTATATCATTGTTTCCCCTGTAACTGTCCTTGCAATGATTTAGCAGTCCATTTATGTATGCAGGAACACAGTTCGCATATTAAAGGTACACTGATAGAGACTACCTTTTTTTTGGGTTATATGTTTGTGGTGATAATTCTTCTCTAACATTATCTGACACAAATAAGTTAAGGGACGATCTTATAGCTGGGAAGTGCACATTGTGCATACTGAAACTGCAGTGTAAAATTTATATAAAACTTACAGGATCTTAATTACTTTAGATGAGTACAAAGCAGGGTAGAAATTGACAGCAAATGTCACTGGAATAGAATTTTGCTTCTGCAATTTTGGTTCTTACAAGTGTTTTTTTGCCTGGCTAATATGAACTCCATATATCTTACATGCTTCTGTAATTTACACTATTGCTAAGATAGCTCTCCTTATTGCTGACACTGCAGTCTTGATCATATGGGTGATAATTGGCGTCCCAGGAAATGTATTTACTGGATTGATATATGGTTTCCTAGCACCCATAATGGCCCCATTTGATGCACTTGGACAAGGCAAAGAAAAGCCATTTGTTCATTACTTTGTGGTAAGTTTATCTTTGTATCAGTTGTTTATGCTTATCTCTGTGATTGTTTGTTAGTATATATCTTTTAGACATTGCTTACCTTGCTGTTCTGAACTTCAGGATGGAACATGGAGTGTTATCACTGGAAGATTTCCTTTTCCACTGACGTCCTTCGTCTTCAGAAAACCCCTGACAGGGAGCCATATGAGATAAGGTCTGCATCCTGTTCGTTGTTTATATCTTTCAACTTTACACCTCAAGAACATAAGACTTTTGTTGTTACTTTTTAATTTCCTCTTTTATCCTTTTACCAAAAATCACCCTTTGTGCTTGACTTGAGATAACATTTGCAAGAAAGCGTGCATTCAGACATTCATTTGGAATAATATAATTGTCGGGAGCGCCGGTGCAGCTGCGTGGAATGACATGCCAGTGCAGTGCTGCTGCTGCTTGATGTGAGTACCTGAGCAGCGTCCATTGTGCAGGTCAGTTTTATAATTGTTTAGCACTATGTACTTAACTGAGCACAGCTCTTTAATTGTTTGCTGTATAAAATACTTGGGTGTTCTCATCTTCATTTTATGCAAAAGTACACAATTATGCTAAAGGTGTCTGCTGCTCTGCCTTATCCGTCTTTCAGCTGGCGTGCTAATTCAGACAAATGAGGCTTCCAATGTTTCGCTTGATATTAGGTTCACATTAATGTATGAAAATACTTTTGTATCTGGGGTTCCCTAATTCTTTGAGACTACACATGTGCAGTATCTGGGAAAAAAAGATAGGAACATTTTAATTGGACAATTTGCTGTGACACTTGATTCATGGTTTTCAAACTTTGAACTGTGTTGCCGACAATATACTTGAGCAGGTTCCTTTTTTTTCACCTATTTTCTAAGACTTACTTTTCTTTTTATAAAAATCTTCTGCACACTGTAGCCATATTGTTGCTGTTAGACCTGAATACCTGATATCATAAGGACCATTGCGCCGAGCGTGGATATAAAACAAGGAGGGGCTAAAAAATTTCAATGACAACTATAGCAGGTAGCAGCAATATGATGTAATAGGCTCTTCTGTGATTTTTTATTTGTTTCCTACAGCCTAGGCTTTTTACTTTTCATGCATAGCTTCACAGCATGATAGAGCAGTTATACTTACATAGTAATTGGATAACAGCAGTACTATATGCAGTGACAAAACAGGCAACCAAGGGGGGGCAAGAGCCCAGGTTCGCCTCCACAATGCTCCGCCAGTACACGATGATGGGTGGGGGTGCAAATGGGTGCAATAGGCTCCAGGCTGGACAAGGCGCTGGACAAGCAGTTACCTGAGGGTGAGTGCTACTCCGTCCTCGATAACCTTGACATTTTGGTCAATGACATTTAGAGAAAGATGAGATACTGCAGGCAGGCAGTGCTGTCGCGGCTGCCACTGTGGATGTTGTGAGCCTAAAGCACAATATGGCTGTGCTAGCTAGAACTACCACCTGCACGGAGGTTGTGATTGTTATTCCTATTCTCAACTTCTTGGATAACCTGCAACGTATAGGGATCAATAGTAGAACATGTCGAGATTTTGGTTAAATAATCACAGTTTGTCCTGAGCAAAACTGACTCAAAGATTATTGCAATTGTATCCCTTATTTTGTTACCATCTAAAACAGTAGTTCTTCAGTTAGTTTTTTTTTTACACCGGCTCTATTAAAGCTGTTGTATAGTTGTTGATTGCTTGGATGTACATTTTACGTCAACCCATTCTGCTTAGCTGTCTAAAAAAATTGCAGTCCAGATAAAGTAAACAGAAAAATACAGGACCCGGGCTGCAGCAATGTCTTTGTAAATTTATGTCTGCTGATCTCCTTCCCACAAATCTGCATTTGTAATCATTTTTTAGTCTTCAGCATTTTTGTGCTAATCACCTGACAACGACCTGTGATATGATGGCCTATACATCGTGGTTCAATGGTCTTGCTGATTGCCTGATTCAAACAAAGAGGTGGGACTTAGTTTGCCAACCTCTCAAATCTGGATAGTGTCATCAAATTTGTGCTCTTCACGCTCTGTAAAGGATTAACAAGGTGTATGTGTATCTGTTTTGCATTGCAGTTCGTGTCTCTTCTGACATGGTATAACTGAGATTTGTTGCTGTGGTGTGCCGGACCCCTCCTGCTCTTCGATTCGATTGACTAGCTTTTTATTCATACTTGGACGACTGGTGCATATGACATGCTGTTTCAACCCCAAACAATTCATATGATATTACCTTCGCATTGCAGTTCAGCATATGTAATTTTGCATCAAAGGTTCTGTTATACATTCCCTCTATAGTGCAAATATTTATAATGAATTCCTGACGCTTATGTGGAAGCTCACCATAAAGGAATATTTTGCTCGAATCCTCATATGGAATTGTCCAAATTTACCACTGCATAGTTTCGGCCTTTCTCTAAGGTTAAGATGATGTTATATTGCCATCGGTACTTTTTTAGCACCTATTTGAGGTGTAGCCTTTCTTCTTTATGCACTTATAATAGGCAGTTAACCTAAAAGTCTTCATATATGTTTTAATAGTGTCATAAACAGCAAATATGTAGAACAAAATCATGTATTCAACCAATCACTTACTATGGTTGACCCGCGGCAACGCGTGGGGTATTGGCTAGTTCGCCTTAATTATTTGCCTCTCATTTGTGACTTGCGTCCTGTTTTACAGCAGCACTTTTCGGGAAACGAACAGTCATTCTGTTTTTTTAGACTACTTCAACGGTACCTTTTAGCGAAGAAACGGTATTTTTCTCTTATAACAAATCAGCATCAGCAGCAGTTAAATTTCAGCGAAACGAACAGGACCAGTATTTTTTTCTCATAACAAATCAGCATAAACATTAGAATAAATCAAATTTCAGCGAAACAAATAGGGCTTTGATTTCATCGGCTATTTGCCTATTTATCCTAGCACCCAAGTTGTTTTCTGATGTTCCTTTCTTACCAATGAGCCAGGAACCCAGGATGTCAAGATCGTAAGGACCAGAAAGCTCGAAACAACCTTCTCTTAATCGTCCTTCGGTATCCGTTCTGTTCTTGCATGCGAGTTGAAGACGCAACCCAGCAGGCTTAGGATGTGAGCGGGCGAAACAAGCTGCGGCACCACACCTTGCGACCGAATTAATAAGACGCGATGAGATCGAACCCAGCAGCATCTCCTCTGATTGTTCACAGGGTAGAGCAAGAAACATCGTTGATTTGTTTTAGTGTTTCTGAATCAGAAGCGAGTCGGCCTTTTAATGTGCCTCGAAACATCGCTGCATGCTTTGCCAAAGCCTCACTAATCCGAGCACTGAGCTTCGATCCTGACGTCTTTGGGGAAGGACTGGAAAAGGCTGAATGACTGATTGGCCATAGATTGATATATTTGTCGACACATGAGACGGTCGTCTTTGGGAAGGGACTGGAAAAGGGTCTGAGATTGAGTGACTTGGCTCTTTCTCTCCGTCTCTGCCCTCCAAATTCTACGACGAGTGATTTCGCTTATAAGCCAAACCAATCCAAACGAACGAACAGTCTGTCAGTCACTCGTCGCTTTTCCCTTCGGCTCTGGAAGTCTGGTGGCAGGCGGAGGAGCAGTGCCACGCAAGGTTGGGGAGCCAGGCTCCAACGACGGCGCCGGCGGCGACCATGCGCAGAAGTTGAAGCTCCAGGAAGTTCACAACTTCGCGTTCAGCGGGAGCGGGCTCGCCGGCGGCGACGCGCGAGAGAGCTTGGAGCGGGAGGCCTGCGGCGGCGCGACGCAACGCGATGCGAGATGCCGGCGGCGGTTCGGCGCTGCAGGTCGGCAGTGGCGCGGCGCGAGGCACCGGAGGGGTTGGAGGCCTGCGGCAGCGCGGCACGATGCGAGATGCCTGCGGCGTCATGGTGTGGCAGTCACCAGCCGGAAGAGCGATACTGGACGGCCACCGCGTAGGGCGGCGTGGCGAGCGGGCGGACGGCGTGGGCACATGGCACGGCGAGCGGATGGCCATCGCGGGCATGGTATGCGGCAAGCGCGCAAGGCCGCCGCGGAGGGCTGCACAGCGAGCGGCTACCGTCGCGGACACAGCGAACGGCGGCCGTCGCGGACATGGGACGTGACGAGCGCGCCGCCATCACGGTGGGCGGCGCGGCGAACGTGCACAGCCGGTGTGGCAAGCTGGCGGCCAGCGCTGTGTGCGTGCATGGCCAGCATGGCGAGCGACGGTCGGCGTGGGCACAGGGCGCGGTGAGCGGGCGGCCGTCGCGGGCACGGGATGCGGCGAGCGTTCGCGGCTTTTGCGAAGGTCGGCATGGCGAGTGGGGCGGCCAGCGCGGCGAAGATGGGTCTCCTTCGGAGCGGCGCGGTGCCTCAGCGTGGCACTTGCGGGCCCTCCGGGGAGGCGCGGATGGCAGCGAGGTGCAGGAGAACTGCGGTGTGGCAAGCTGCGATGCCGTACTCTGCTCTGCTCCTACAACGTGCTTGCGTTCTTGGACAACCTGCGCTGGTGGGCCGTCCCGCCGGGCGCCCAGGCCGGCCTGACCACCCGCGCCATCATGGTTGCGCTCCTGTGCAAGGGGATGGCGACAGAGGCGTACGAGGTCATCGTGAAGAATATGGATGCCGAGTGGCCGACGGCTTCGTCTGAGACTCCAAAACTCGGAGTTTGAGCGACTACCTGGCCGCCGGCTGGCCGGCGAGGCGCACGCGGAGCCGTGGAGGTCCGGTGCGACGAATGGAGCTTTCAAGTCTTCAATCCAGTAATTCGGCCGGGACGTTCGCGTGAAAGAAGGGGAAACAGGTCACAGGCCTCCATCTCCCTCGTTGGATCTTGATTGGCTGATGGATAGCATAGGGAAAGTTACAACGTGACTTTCCCAAGCAAAGTCACTGAATCTGCGTCCCTGAAAAAGGATGGGAGCTAAAGCTGCCGAATGGGCTGACTTATCATTGAATTTTAATTTATTTGTCGACCCAGGAGAGTGGTAACTTACTAGCAAGCATCATCTCTCGACTGGGCTAACCCACCGACGACACTCACACGATTACGGCCACCTCCATTCATATCTTTCTCACTACTCCCTTCGTCTCAAAATACAAGACATTCTGAGATTCAAGATTTGCTTCACAATTGTTGATGTTATAGCCTAGCATACGGGTCTTACCACTACCAACATACTCCCTCTGTCCCATAAATTCAGTCGTTT